GGAGGAAGAGGGTGAATGTAGGAGGAGGGATGGGCTCTCTCTCTCTCTCTCTCTTGCTCTCTCTCTCTCTCTCTCTCTCTCTCTCTCTCTTGCTCTCTCTCTCTCTCTCTCTCTCTCTCTCTCTCTCTCTCTCTTTCTTTCTCTCTCTCTCTCTCTCTTGCTCTCTCTCTCTCTCTCTCTTGCTCTCTCTCTCTCTCTCGCTCTCTCTTTCTTTCTTATTTTTGGAATTACTAAGTTGAAATTTCTGTGCCATGCTTGTTAATTTTGATATTGATTTTGGTAAAGTTTGAATAACTTCGTGGTATCATCTCATTTCATTAACGCAAAGGAAAATACACATAGATACACGTATACACGCACACACATGCACACATATTTGCTTAGTCTCCTCCTCCTCTACACGCAGACACACACGCACATACCCAACCTCATCCCCTACACACACACATGCACGCAAACACACGCAGACACACACACACACACACACACACACACACACACACACACACACACACACACACACACACACATACACACACATACACACACACACACGCACACGCACACACACACAGCCGCCCACACACACACATGAATAACCCCCCCCCCACACACACACCCACACGCACACCCACACCCAAAGACCCCCACCCCTACACACACACACACACACGTACACACACACACACACACACACACACACACACATACATACACCCCCCCCCCCACCAACACACACACACACTTAAACACACAAGCGATGTTTGTACCTCGGCTAAGTGATCCAAGAGGCAGGGAGAGTAAATACACACTCATTTTCCATCCGGCACACCCAGCCATGATACAGACTAGTACATTACGTGGAAATGATTGTGGAGCCGTAAGGGTGAGTGTGTTATGACTGCAAATTTGGGGATAAGGAAGGAGAGGGAGTGAGGGAGAGAGAGAGAGAGAGGGAGAGAGAGAGAGAGAGAGAGAGAGAGAGAGAGAGAGAGAGAGAGAGAGAGAGAGAGAGAGAGAGAGAGAGAGAGAGAGAGAGAGGGGGGGGGGATATATATATATGTATATATATATATATATATATATATATATATATATATATATATATAGAGAGAGAGAGAGAGAGAGAGAGAGAGAGAGAGAGAGAGAGAGAGAGAGAGAAGATAGAGAGACCAAACACATATAGGGGTCAGAAGCATACCTACTGATAGACAGAAATTGATAGGCTCATAGCCAAATATATATATATATATATATATATATATATATATATATATATATATATATATATATATATACATATATATATATATATATATATATATGTATGTATATATATATATATATATATATATATATATATATATATATATATAACAGATATATCGATAGATAGATAAATAGATAGACAGACAGACAAATAGATAGATATATAGAGAGATAGATAGACAGACAGATAGATATACAGATAGATAGATAGACAGACAGATAGACAGATAGACAGATATATAGATAGATAGATTGAAAGATAGATAGGTAGTTAGACAGATATATAAATAGAAAGGCAGAAATAGACAAACAAACATTAATAAAAAAAAACAAAAAAACACATGAAAACACATCTTCTTAATAAGCTAATTTTCACAGCAAATACCAATTCGTTCGCCTCGTTACCAATTAGCGAATGAACAACATGAACGGATACAGGCTGGAAAATTGAGCATAATTCTTTAAACTGTGAGTCGCCATGCATAGAGAGGCTAGTGGAGCGTTGCACGAGAGAGCAGGTTTATCATCAAAGTAAGGGGGGGGGGGGGAGGGGGGGGGAGGAGGAGGGGGGAAGAGGGGGGGGGATGGGGGGGAGGAGGAGAGGGAGGAGGAGGAGGAGGAGTGGGGAAGGGGGAGGGGAGGGGGGAGGAGGGGGGAGGAGGAGGAGGAGTGGGGAGGGGAGGGGGAGGAGGGGAGAGGGAAGGAGGAGGAGGAGGGAGGGAGGGGAAGGAGAGAGGGGAGCTGCGTGAGTATTCGTAAGGTTGACGGATAAGTGTAAGATTGTAAAGGGAGAGAGGAAGGGGGATGACGGAAGGGAGGAAGGGAAGGAAGGAAGGAAGGAGGAAGAGGGGAAGGAGGAAGGAAAGAAGGAGGAAGAGGGGAAGAAGGAAGGAAGGAAGGAGGAAGAGGGGAAGGAGGAAGAGGGGAAGGATGGAAGTAAGAATGGGAGGAAGGAAGGAAAGAAGGGAGACAGGAAGGAAGATAGGAAGGATGGGAGAAAGAAAGCAAGGAAGGATAATAGTAAGAAAGAGAGGAAGAATGGAAGTACGCAAAAGAAAAAAAAAATGTAAAGAAAGAAAGGAAGAGAAGGGAAAGAAAAAAGAAAAAAAAATGAAAAGAAAGAAAATAAGGAAGAAAAAAAAAGAAAGGAAAAAAGAAAGGAGAGTTAATCATAGGAAAATAAGTAATTGAAGAAAAGACCTTGACTCAGTAAGGATCTTGACTATAAAAA